AGCACGAAACAAGAGATTTAAAGGTCAGGTACATTTTCTTCCTGTTCTCGGTTCATAATGACTTTGTCTTAAATGAATACACCTCAACGCAGTTTATTATTTAACTTTCTTATGTTAACTACGATATAATATTATTTAGTGTCCTTATTTTATTTTGGAAGCTACTAAAACTGTTTGATCCTTTAAAAACTTTACATCCTGTTAGAAAAACGTGTCGCATCATCTCGAATGTTCTTTGAAAAATCCAGGCTGAAAGAACTGACTCAGCATCTCTTACCATGCAGCCCGGTCATGTGGTTTGTTCTCTCCTGATTTAAATTAGCAGCTCGTAACCAGACACTACTGGAAACAAACACAACCGTTATATTTTATGGCTGTTTGACTGTGAGTAATGTGCGACGGTGTAATGGTTCAAACATAAACGCCAACCTCTGTGGTAAACCTGTAGGGATTCGTTTCCTATTAGAACTCTGAATATTATGTTTGATGAAGATCTCTCTGACGGGTTCTTCTGCCAGGCGTTCCCAGCAAACCCTCACGACGTTTGGGTCTGCCGGGTCTGTCCGTCATCACCCCCCGCAGCTGAGCAGTGGAAAGGATTGTAGACGCGCTCATTGTTTAAAACATAAATCCAAGCTGCGGTTAAGATTCCTTGCTTGGCGTCAAGTTCTTCACATTTCAAGGCACAACATCCGTGAATCAGACTCGTATCTCAGAGCAGCAGGAAAAACGGATCAAAGGCAACATTTCAAAGCTTAAAGCACAAAGTGGTCAACAAAAGTGTTAGACTCCCTCATCACCCACTCACTAACAAAACTCACCAGGTGAGAAAACAGGTGATCTTAAAATCAGTACTGACACCACGGGATCCAAAACTACACCCATCCACACCCGAAGGAGCAGGGAAGCCACCGTCTCATCCAACGGGGAAAACTCCAACACACAGGCACCAAGTCGGGGGCCAAGGGTAGACCCACACCAGCTCAGCGCCTGTCAACATGGACAACTCCAGAGTGGAATAAGGTCCAGACCCTCTCAAGGAGATCTGTTCCAGAGCCCATGATGTGCGTCGAGGTGAACCCAACTAGATCTAGTCGGTACCTCACAAACAAGCTCAGGCTCCTTCCCCACCACAGAGGTCACATTCCATGTCCCAAGAGCAGCTTTGGTAAGCCAGGGTCAGAGCGCCAAGGCCCCCACCTTCAGCCACTGCCCATGGCATCATGCACCCGACATTTGTGGTCCCTCCTGCAGGTGGTGGGTCCACAGGAAGGCAAGCCCATGTTACTCATCCGGGCTGAGCCCGACCAGGCCCCATGGGTAGAGACCCGGTCACCTGGAGCACACAGACAAGTCCCTCCCCCAGGCCTGGCTCCAGGGCGGGGTCCTGGTAACCCATGTCCGGGCAAGGGACACTGAGTTCCTTGATATATATAGTCCATCAAAAGGCTTTGGAGTTTCTGCATAAGCCTCAGATAATCTGTCTCCTCCTCTGCCTCCATCACCTGTGGAGTACCCCAAGGTTCATATTCTCGGCCCCATAATATTTTCCATTCATAGGCATCCTTTAGGCTCCATTTTTAGAAAATCCAAAATTTATTTTCATTCTTATGCAGACGACACTCAGGTCTACGTTCAGCTGAAGTTCAGTCTATTTTGCTGAAACCCATGCTTAACTGTCTCTCTGAAGTAAAAGCTTGGATTGCTTCAAACTTCCTAAATTTTAATGAGGATAAAACTGAAGTCACCATTTTTGGTTCCAGTGAAAACCAAAGAGCATCTCTTACATATCGGACTATCTTCATCGTAAAAAACGAGTGTGTTCAATTTGATTCTAATTTTAACTTTGTGAAACAGATTAGTTCTGTTGTAAGCAATAGCCATCCATTCATCCATCCATCCATCCATCCATCCATTCATCCATCCATCCATCCATCCATCCATCCATCCATCCATCCATCCATCCATCCATCCATCTTCTTCCTCTTATCTGGGGTCGGGTCACGGGGGCAGCAGCTTAAGTAGGGAGGTCCAGACTTCCCTCTCTCCGGCCACTTGGTCCAGCTCCTCCGGGGGAATCCCGAGGCGTTCCCAGGCCAGCCGAGTCCCTCCAGCGTGTCCCGGGTCTTCCTCTGGGTCTCCCCCCAGCATCATATGTACATTTTTTCTGTTTTTTCTTTGTACTTGAGTTTTGTTCTCATGTTTAATCTGATAGATTAAAATTTAGAAAAGAAGTTTGCTTCAGAGGTTTTAATCCCCCAGAGCTGGGCGTTGGAACAATTTTTAAATGATTGGGACGCATGTATCAGAGACAGAAACTGCTTCGTGAATCATTTCCAGGCAGGACGCGATGAGGAGGGGAGGAAGCAGAGAGACGTGGAGTTGGTCCGTTTTAACAGTTCTGCCAGTAAAAATATGCAGACCAGTTTCTGCTTCTGTCATTAGAAGCTCAGAGCCGCACAGTGGGAGACAGAGCAGTCCACTTCCTTTGTGTCTGTAAGATCCAAACATGTTTAATACGTATATTTACCAGGAGTTCAGCTTTCTTGGCTCATCTCTCTGTTGTGCTCTTAAAATAATTCTACAATTATTCAGTTTGGTAACAGAGGCTTTAGTGTAGGGTTCTAACATCCGATAACAAAGTCACTAAAGCAGTCTGCGTGTCATGTTGCCAGCAGTTATCTTGGTCATAATGAATCATTCCCTTCTTGTATGTCATGGCTGCAAAGATACAACATTCTCTTAAAAGGCGTAATTATGTAAAACTTTTGAATTTAATTGAAGCAGACAGTGACAAAAAGCTTCTCAAGCACTCCGACTAAAACTGATGAGACAATTCAGACGTTGAGCAGCGTAAAGAAGGAAAACGATCTAAATGTGTCATTGCATCTGATCTAAACGGTGAATTCCATAAAATCACTGTGAAGTGGTGAACATCTGTCATGTTCATGAAAACTCTCGTCCCTTTCAAACCAGTAATCGTTGGACAAATATGACATGAGCTTTCTGCTTCATTGCTGCAAAATCTATTATTATTGTTATTATTATTATTGTTATTGTTATTATTATTATAACTGCGTGTAGCATTGCCAGCCGTCACCTGTCTCTTAGCCCCAGAAACATAATTAATCAAATATGTAGCAAAGCACCAGTTTAGTTTTGTTGTCTTCTCCGTGTGTTGCAGTTGCATGTTGGTTCCTATGTGATCAATAAATCAGAAGTTTTACCAGTTTGTTACTTGACATCAGTCGTTTATTCTTCAACATGACCTGAACACAACGTCACTCTGGTCCTCCTGACACACTCAGGTCAAGATATGAAATGTTCTGTGGAAAAACAGCAGCAGTGACATCACAGGACATCGATGAAACGAGCAAACTGAGGCTCGTGCACGTTGCGTTTGCCGTCAGGAGACTAGGAGTTCCAGTGTAAAACAGGTGAGACGTTATATTCAGTCTGTAACGGGAACACCAGCTTCTTTTTCCAGGACAAAGACTGACTCACCTTTGAAGCAAAGGCTCATGGGAGTTTAAACAGCTACTTCAACTCCAGGTTGTGTGAAAGAAACAAATGTCTCCTGTTCAACATTCATCAGCTCCTCTGGACGGTTTCTTTTATTGTGCTGAGACGTTTTGACGACTGTCGACGAGGGAGAGGGCGGGCACCAGAGACCATCTTAGCACCAACATAACTGGGTGTTTTCCACTTTGGAGTGAGCTGTTGGTGGAGAGTCAGTTTTGTTTGGTGGTTCCTCAGACTGATGAAGCTTCTGGATGGAGGGTGAAACGTCTCAGCACAAAAAAACCCTTTCCAGATGACCTGACTGAACATTGTTGGATTATTGAGCTGGACTTTGGTCTGTGCTGCAGTTACAGTTTTTATTCACATTTACTTTTGAAAGTACAGAATTATCTGTTGCTGTGAAGTTGCACAAGGAGCCTCGTCTTCCTCTGCGCGTACGGATTTACTGGTCTGTGTGGAAAGCAACGTTTTCTTGAACTCCAACCATTATATAGGAGTTGTTTTTATAATGCATTTATTGTGAGAGATGATTTTCAGGGAGTTTTCTTACATTAAAGCTGTAGTGTCTCAGTGTTCAGTGTGCTGAAGATGGTGAGCTGAGGACAGATGTTCAGTCCGACTCCATCAGGACTGATCTTTAACAGCAACATCTGTTAGACCCGTTTCATCCTGTCCTGACCGTCTGGTGTCTCTGCAGAGGAGGGTTATAAATATAACGGTGTAACGTAGAGACACGGTGGGAGAGGCAGGAGGAGGGAGAGAAGTATAAAAGAGGAGGTGGAGGAGGAGGCTGACGTAGAGTGAAAAACAAGAGGAGCAGAGAAATGTGAGACTGAATTCAGGAAAAGGTCAAGAAGGACTTCACAAAACCAAATTCAAGACTAGAAGATCAGCACAACAGGTGAGGAAAAGACGACATGCACAGAAACGTGTTCTTATCAGTCTGCTGTCATTTAGTGTGAAGTATTAAACTTTTTGTAAATTGTCAAAATAAGATTTTAAATGTATTAGATGCTGAATATCTTTAATGTTTTCGACACTCCTCTCAATCATAAATAATACATGGCCAATAAGCTCCGTGTCTTGGAACAATGGTTGCATGTCATGCACAGTTTGTGCTGAGCAAATGGAGACCTGGTGTTTGCGTGTTTGGACTGAGATGTTTGAGTGTTCCTGACAAACGCTGATGGCTAACACACATGTGTAATCTGAGACGACTCGGTCCTTCCGAGTTATTTTCACCATGAAACCTCAAAGAAAACAGAAATGCAGCGCACATACTTCCAGATTATGTTTTATTGTAAACATGAACTGTGTTTAATGCTTTGAAGTTGCCAGATTTAGTGTTGAGTAATCTGCAGAAGGTGCTGAACATTTGTACGTGGGCTGTAGTTCATCTTCCCTCCAGGTGTTTCTGCTGCGAGCTGCTGGAAACACCATCCAGAGGTGAAAGCTGCAAAGGTCAGCAGAGTGTCAGAATGTCACCGAGGACCCCTCCTCCTCTTCCTCCTCCTCTTCCTCTGGGAATCATCTTCTTCTGTGTTCTCACAGCTCAAGGTGGGACTCTCACCACCATGTCAGTTAGTGTTGTTAGTTTCAGGGTGAAGTTTTGTACTCGTGTTATCTTCCTCATCTACAGCGACGAACACAAAACATGTGGTTAGCTTCAATAATTTATTCAACTTTACTAGATCTCAAAATGTTTATTTAAAAATCTAAAATTGACTTTAAATGTATTCTTGTGAGGTAACACGGTGGTGCAGCTGGTAGAGCTGCTGCCTCTCAGCGAGCAGGTCCCTGGTTCAAACCCCGGTCCAGGGCCTTTCTGGGTGGAGTTTGCATGTTCTCTCCGTGCTGCGTGGGTTTTCTCCGGGTACTCCGGTTTCCTCCCACAGACCAAAAACATGCATGTTAGGCTGATTGGTAACTCTAAATTGTCCCTAGATGTGAGAGAGAGTGAATGGTTGTTTGTCTCGTTTGTCTCTATGTGTCCCTGTGATGGACTGGAGACCTGTCCAGGGTGTCCCCCGCCCCTCGCACAGTGATTGCTGGACATGGGCACCAGCGACCCCCGTGACCCAAAACAGAACAAGCGGGTAAAGAAAATGGATGGATGGATGGATGGATGGATGGATGGATGGATGGATGGATGGATGGATGGATGGATGGATGGATGGATGGATGGATGGATGA